AATTTTTGTCTTCCTACAAAGAAGTTTATAAGGTTTTTGACGACTCACGACTATTTGAGGTGGTCTCCCGAAAGGACAAAACATATATATTTTTTCCCACCGAAAAAGTCAATTTAATCATGAAATTTTCAATCTCAGCACTGAAGCAGGTACAACCAATCTTGAGCTTCAAGAACAAACTCTCCAAGGTCAACGTCAACTCTTTTCTCCGTCCACAAGAAAAAGTCGTCTTCGTGATGGGTGCTACTGGATCCGGTAAGTCCCGTCTAGCCATCGACCTAGCAACTCGTTTTCGAGGAGAGATCATAAACTCCGACAAGATCCAACTTTACAAGGGCCTCGATGTCCTAACAAACAAGGTCACACCTCAAGAATGCCAAGGCGTGCCTCATCACTTGCTCGCAGTACTCGACACGGAAGCCGGAAACCTAACGGCTAACGAGTTCAGCCGCCTTGCGTCACAAGCAATCTCAAAAGTCTCAGCAAACCACAAGCTTCCTATAGTAGCCGGTGGATCAAACTCATACATCGAAGCACTTGCGAATCATTCCTCGAGTTTCTTGTTAAACAACTACCAATGCTGTTTCATTTGGGTCGACGTTTCTTTACCCGTACTTAACTCCTTTGTCTCGAGACGTGTGGACCGCATGATGGAAGCAGGACTACTCCAAGAAGTGAGAGAAGTGTTCGACCCGAAAGCGGATTACTCAGTCGGGATAAGACGAGCTATCGGAGTCCCCGAGCTTGACGAGTACTTACGTTGTGAATCATTAGTGGACAAAGATACGCAAAAGAAGATGCTTGACGTAGCGGTTAAAAACATTAAAGAGAACACAGAGAAACTAGCTTGTAGACAGTTCAAAAAGATTCAACGTCTATACAAGAAGTGGAAGTTGTCTATGCACCGTGTGGACGCCACTGAAGTGTTCTTGAAACGCACCGAAGAAGAATCGGACCAGGCTTGGGAGAATCTCGTAGCGAGACCGAGCGAGAGAATCGTCGATAAGTTTATTAATAACCAAACGGAAAATGAGGAGGTTGGTCACTGTTTGACAACCATTGGTGCGGCGTCTTACGGTGGAAGAAGGGCCCACCATTTGATATGAAAAGTTTTGCTTCTGAAAATATATTTTTTTTGGGAGTTTGAGAATATTAAAGATGAGACCGGAATATTTCGTATGTGTGTGGTGATTCACCGGAGGTTTTTGCAACGTACATGTGTGTGAAATAGTATCCAAAGGGGGGAAAAAACAAAAAAG